GAGTCAGGAGCCTTGCAACAAGACCACTGAAACAGCCATCCTGGACTTAAACAGCTCTGCTTCTCAGGACTGAAAAAGCCTAACCAAAGCATATTGTTACATACTCTGCCTGCACAAGGCACTGGCAGCAGGGAAAAGGTGTCTTGTAATCCAGCTGAATCATAACATTCACCATTATACAGCACTTTAAAAAGCTAGGGGTGCTGTTGTTGTATATAGCACAGCAAAGCCAGTAACCAGACACTCATGGTGTGTACTAAAGTGTACTAAACACAAGAAACAAAGGCACTTCCTACCCCGAATCCCAATCTACAATCTGAAAAATATCAGAGAGTAGAGGAAGACTGCACAAGTAGTGGAAAGCTGCCTATCTGCTACTCCTCCACCAGTGAGTAACAAAGGAGGAAAGCACAACTGTAGGACAGAGCACTCAGCAGCACACCAAGCAGACAGCGTCCTATGCTTTTGGTCTGCAGTTTCACAACTATTGAGCTGAACTTGGCGTGTTTTCTCAGGGCCACATTAAGCTGGGTCACACTGAAACCCAGGTCTGCCATCCTTCCTCTGGATACACACAGCAAATGTGCAGCAGCACAGGACCATGCTAACTATGCGCTGGGAAAAAAGCAGGTACAATATGGAAGGTAGAGATAAGGTCACAGGCGCTGCTGGATAGAGCCCCCCAGTGAGCTCTGTGTGCAGCTCAGGGTCACTACAAGAGCCTGCAAATGGGCAGGTTAAGGAACTGTAAATAACCATCACAAGTCCATTGGATCAATGTGGGTTGCCACAGTGGCTTGCTGCTGGAGAGGAGGACCTTGCCTGTTGCTCAGCACTGACAGCTCACCACAACCAATTCCTTCCCCCACCAAATGTTGTGTGGGTTTTCTTGCTTGGAAAAACAAACACTCGTGAGGTCTCATAAGTACAACTGCCACAAAGGATAATGAACCCCAGAAGTGGTTACAAAGCTGATGACCTCATAACGATTTCCTTTCAGTTATAACAGATTATATCCACACAACAGAAATCCCAGGACATCACTAATGATAGGAGGCTCTGTCAGTACATGAAATGCTATGAGACTTTGTGAATTAAACCCCATTATTGTCCTAAATTATAGATAAAGTCTCCCTTTCCTTGGTGATATGCAACATATTTTTTCTTCAGGGCAGTTAGGTGATGTCAGCACAAATTACCGCTTTCCACACAGTGCAGATGACAGAACTGGAGGCATTTAAGAAACTTACAAAACACAAATCTGAAGAGACAGAAGGAACTGCTTCCTTTGACTTGGAAATAACAAATTCTGCTGGGGCATGCTGGGTAAGCCAAGAGAAAAACCCTTTCATTTGGGATACTGATGGAGCTTCAGAAGTTTCACATACTTAAAAATCAAATTTTGAGTTTAAATTCTTGCTCTAAATGACAAAAACACCTCCAACAAAACAACTTTAGATGCTTTTATGCCTCCATTAAATATACACTGAGGTGTAACACTGAGGTACATGTTATTGTCTAGCTGTTAATGTATATAACACAGCAAAGCACATTAGGAAGCTCTTATATATAGCTACTGCATATAGTACACAGCCAACTCTGGAGCTCTATTTTCAGCCTTGAAAAAAATGAATCTACAATATAATTTAAAGTGTTTTTCTAAATGGTTTCCTATTCTTTCAGTGTTTCCTGGTAGATCAAAGTTGAAGGAAGGGCAGAGGAATTCCTAGTGGTTACCTGTGTGAAAAAGACTCAAAAGATCTACACAAGGCAAGGTTTACAGGAGGTGCTGGTATCTTTTACTAGATGAGTGATATAATTGGAAAAAGAATTGTGGTGAGGCATATGGTTCTGTAAATTTTTTTGTTACTTGATATACAAATACTTCATTTGCAAATCCAGTATCTGGGAATTCATTATCCTGCACAGTTTTCCTTTACTATCATTGTGGCATTGCACTGTGTGCACCAGCAGTCAAGCTCTTGGTTGCCATCTGCTGTTCTTCTTTTCCATTTGACCAATTTTATTAGCAAGACCAGGTCATGAGAAGTCTTAAAGAAGTTTTACGACAGACAAACCCAAAAACCATTCAGTTTTGCTTGTTAAAGAGCAAGAAAAAGCCTCTTTGTAGTACTATTAGTGGGAAACCCACAGAAATACAGGGCTTCCTTGTGTTTCCGTGATTTTTTTCATTCCCTGCCATCCCAGTCCTTTACAAACATTAGGTAATTCGTTGCAAATCCTTACCTTTGCTTTACACCTGGGGAAATTGAAGCACTGAACAGCGATGATACTTAACTAAATGCACCCTGGACACTTACAGCAGAGCTGAGAACAAAGCCCACATCTTTTGCCTCTCAGTCTTGTATCCTAAAACCCTCTTTTTTCTGCACTTTTCAAACTTGCTCATTTTGAAATGCAGCAGTTCCAAGTAAAAAGGTCAGTCTCAAACAGTACAATTGTCATTCACTCTTTTCCTACTCCTCCATTTGAAGTGATTTGCAGATAGAGGCATTCTGATACCCTCCATCATCGGTGCAAGAGAGAAACCTTTGGACTCTGTCACAAACAGTTGTGGGTTTGTTTTTTCTGGTACACAAATGATATCAAGAACAGAAAAATAACCCACACATGCCAGTGGCCCATCCTAAAAGCCCCAGTGCAGGGAACAGCCATTACTATCCTGGCATGGGCCCAACATAGTGAAAACAAGGAAAGAGGTAGCAGTGTGCAGGTCTGCCTCAGTGAAGAGGAGTGATAAAAATAAAGCAAAACCCATCACAATTTTGCAGTGATGTGTGCTCTGCACCACAGCAGTTCTGGGTTTTTCCACATGACCATATATGCACCAGGAACTTCCTGCTATTAGTACTCTGCAGTATATAGAGGCATCTTGAGAAGAAAAATCATTTTACTGCCAAAATACAGTGATCCTTCTAACACAACTCTGTCTGGTGCCAAATTTGCTTATCACAGATAAGCCTCATATCACACTACAATCTGAGTAAGACCTGCACATCTGGCCCTGCAGCATTAAATTCCACACACGGTTTGAAAATACCATGTTTGATTTATCCGTAGCATCTACTTTTAGTAGACAGCAGAGCTTTTCTTAGTAGCTTACAGATTATTGCAGAATACACAGTGGTAGTAAATGGTATGAAAACTCTGAGTGCCTGTTTGTCTTAGCACAGGCTGCTTCCTCTTTACTATCTTTGCTCTGGGGATAGTTAGGTTTTATTTCACTGGAATGTTATATGCTTTACAATTTTTGGCACATGTAGTGCACAGTTGCTTGCTGGAGGATTTCAATATCTGACATTCCAAATGTTTCAGTAGAGAGGTATAAATAGTGAAAAAGCTGGCAATAAATCCTCCCTAACTTTAAGTGCAGTTTGATAAAGCAGAATAAAGTGATTAAGATTAAAAGGGGCAATTCTACTGAATCTAGAAAACATACTGTAAATACTAAAAACTTATCACTGGGCCTTTATCAAAGGATGTAACACAGTCTGCCATTGCACCAGAACTGGGCAACAACTGCAGTGATTTGGCAGCCAAGGAAACACAGTTTAGGTAATGAAAGAAATAGAGCTTCCTACTCCTGGAATTTACATTTAGAGTTTTTACTTCAAAAAGTAAGAGTACAGAAAAATGCTTACACTACATATAGGAACACACTGATACTGGTGAAGATGTGTTCTTAAATGTGCATAAATTTAGCCCCTTTTTATAAATTTCATACAAAATGCAACATTGCAAGTATGGCTATGGCTTCATTGGCAATGTTTTCAAAGAACAGATGACTGAGTGCCAGTCATATATCGGGCAGTGAACAGGTTGTCCTGCAACAAATCTCTAAGTATACAAGAGAAAATGAAAAAGACCAATAAAAATAAAAGGATCAGTTCCAAAATAGCAAACCCCCATGAGCTGCTGCTTCTGCATCTCTCTAGACTCATTATACTTGTGCACTTCAGTGGATAAAGATGGTGGTGGTAATTAGAGAGTGTTAGGGGCTTTAATGTTGTTGCCTGTCTAAACATAACACACCTGCTAGCTCACAAAGCATATGGTGACAGCTTTCAAAAATTAACCAGAAAAGGAAAGCATTGTTTTGCCAAGAATGACTTTGGCTGCCATCAGACGTGTTCCAGACGAGGAAGGCTTGTCCTTGATCCATTATCATTCATATTTTGACAATGAAACATGGAATCACATCTATTACTGTGTCATTTACATGCAATTCATGGCAATTCTCTGGAATTTTGTGGGTTTGGAGCAGATTCTAATGTGATGACGTATCAGGCACCAACAAATAGTATCATGGTTTGAAACCTTAAAGGAGTGTTATTTACCTGATCATTTGGTAAGATCCACAGCTCTGTTTCCCACTGTTGTTTGCAAAAGTGTGACCATATTATACCTTGCCTGAAGACAGCTTATTAAAAATACCTGTACATATTTAGAATTCATTTGACAAGGCAAATGTAATTATAGGGGTGGTGTATGAAATGGACTTTATGACATAGTTATCCACACAGACAAGGTCTATCCCTGTAGAGTAAGCCTCTGATGAAAACAAGTTATCCAGTATAAAGCATCTACTAATCCAAAAAAACCTTACTGAATTCCAAAGCTTTACATTACAACAGACCAAATATTCCATATACCCTTGCCCTTCCCACCGATTTCTACCCACAGCTGTTTTGTATGAGCACCTAGCTAGGCTCATCAAGTCAACAGTTACTGGAACTACAGTGCAACAGTTTTGTTTTGCCTTGCACACTTTATTCGGGGACACACCACAGCACTGTTAAATGAAGCTGCAGCAGCACAGCTTAACCCACAAACATCAGCACCAGCACGGCTGAGGTATTACCCAACTCCAATGGGACTCTAAGTGCATTTATAAAGTTGCAGAATGTTAGCTCCAGGACAGCTGTTCTAATAAGCTCATCCTATCAGCAGGTAGTAGGGAAAACGAATTTTACCTGAGGGGGGCATGATGGATATTTGCAGAGGTTACTTGTAAGAAGTTCTGATTTCCACCCAATTGGAGAGCAAAGTGTGTCTTCCTGCTGCTGAGCCAGGACCTTGGCAGATATCATTACAGTTCACTCAGATGTGAGGTCCTAGAAAAACAAAATTTGCCAGTACTTGTCATTTTCTATAGCAGTTTTCCACCAGAAGGTGCCAATTGTTCTGCTGTGTTCTCTAGGGCCGGTATTTAACAAGCTGAGCTGAAGTCCCTCATCAATTCAGTTTAGCCATGAGCTCAGCCCTGAGCTTCATTTCACTGTCACAACTACCAAAAGCTAACTGTGGTATTTATTTTGGCAGCAATCTCCCTACACAGTGAAGGTACCTGTCTCATTAAGGAGGCCAACTGCACCCCAGGTTGCTTCCACTTTGGAAGCTCCAGCATTTCTGACTGGTTCTTTCCTAATGCAAGGAGCAGCACCTTGAAACCACCATGATGAACACACAAAACGGTACTGCCAGTTTTCCAGGGCACTTGGACATCTTACATTCCTCATGCAGCTAAAAGCCCAAATACCCTAAGGCATGCAAAGCATTACAGTATCAGGAACAAACCCCCAGCCAGTTCAGTGGATGGCTGTCTGCCATGCTATTTCCACGCTTGCACATGTGTATTAAGATGCAAATCCAGAATATCACATATGCTAATGGCTGCTAAAGACACTTTTATTTCAGGATCTCAACTTAAGGAGCAAATGGAATCCTGCAGCATCATTGGAAAGAACAGTTGCATGGCACAGGGGATCAAGGAAGACCTTCAGTGGTCTGTCAGAATGCATGCACGCAGGTGAATTACAAAGGAAGAAAATCAGATGTGGTAATTCTCCTTGCCCACCTCAGCTTCAGCAGCAAAAATACCGCAATCAGTGACCGACCTGTGACTCTTTAGCTCTGGTGAAGCATTCCAAATCTATTTTATTATACCTTGAGCTGCTACTCAACTCTCAAGCATCAAGCAGTGTAGATGGTACAAATGCAGTGACTCCAGGGTCCATATATCCGTTATTCCTGTAACTGCTGCAAAAGCATAGAGGCCGGGTTGGCAGATGGAAGGTTTGCCTTTGAGGAGAAATAGGTCAGATAACAGCTGAAAATAAAAACAAAGGAAGAGATGCAGCTTTACTTCCCCAGCAGGCTGGTAGTTTGCTCAGACATACTGAAGGCACAGCTCCTTGAGAGCAATTTCCTCTGCATTAGCAAAGAACATTGCCCAGCAGGCTCAAGAGTGGGGTAAAGTCTCTGACCATACAAGCTTCTGACAAAGTAGAAGCTAAGCATACTGTAGTGAGAAGGAAAAAGTGGAGGGCTCAGCATAAATCCTTTGCTTGGGACATATCTCCTAGGATTTGTGACTCTTACAGGAGAGTAATTTTCTGTGTGAATGCTCCCTTTCTACATGCTTTTAGTTAAATGCTGGAGGAAAGCAGAAATACTGTTTTCATGCAGTAAGTGTATTCACAGGTACTCACTAGGATTACACTGGCTTTTTTCATCCAAGTAGATGTCCCCACAATGACCATTCTCCTGTTTGTCTCACTGAAACCATTCTCCTCCTCAGTTCCCACACTGTTCAGAGGGAAGAATTCCAACTCCCACACCGAGTCTTAGAATGGTTTGGAAGGGACATTCAAAGCTCATATAGTTCAATTCCCCTGCAGTGAGAAGGGACATCTTTAATTAAATCAGGTTGTTCAGAGCCCAGTCCAAGCTGATATCTAGGTCTGCTATCATGCCTGACATAACTAAGATAAGCAACAAACCCAGCACATTTTTCTTGGTACGGCTAACAGTGTGCTGTAAACATTTTCTGAGTATACAGATCAATAGTAACTATCAACAGTAACTATCAATTCTTTGATGGTCCACAGAGCTTTTTATCATCTGAGATCTTCGTATAGCATTAACATGCACTAAATACATCTTTAAACAGAGATCACCTGTACATATGAAAGTTTAGTAGTTACAGAAGATCAAAGTTTTATATTTTTTAAAGTTAAAAACACTATAAAACCTGAGAGATTGCAACTGAGGGTGTTGATATTAAAGATACATTAGAGGAAATTGTTTGAGATTGTGGGTGGAGAAGGGTAAGAATGTATAAGCCATCTTTCTCATGGTAGGAAGCTGTGCTTTTTAAAGAACTACTGGGAATCCTCAGTGGAAGATATGGTATAGTTGACATACCTTGAGTTTTCAGAGTAAGAGAAGGCAGCAGCACAAACCACTTCATCAAACCTGACTTGTGACTGCTTGTTTTCCAAGTGGAAGTCCTTGCAGTGAGTGCTTTTCCATTTGTCTCACTGAATTCGTCCTCCTACCCTAAAGAAATGAGCCAAAAATAACAGACTAGGAGTTACACAGATTGTGGATAGTATGATTAAGAAATCTTAGTAGAGTTTCTTTATGTATTGGGCTGCCTCTAATGGCAGCTGCTTTAAAGACAAGAAGTTATAACACATGGGCCTATTCAGTGAAAAAAGAAGGTGGCTAAAATGTTTCAGGGAGAAGGCAGTGAATCATTCCGTGCTTACACTGACAGCATGCCTAAAAGCAGCAGCAGGTGACTTCCCCAAATAACCCCAGTCAGGTAGCAGCTGTGCTAGATGCACAAGTCTAGTATGTTACGCTGATAAATCAGGAATGCCTCCACCCCAGCCAATTATGTTGGACTGCTGGGAGATGAGACAAGAGCAGAGCTACATCCTGGGTCCAGCTGAAGCAGACAGAACATCAATATGGAGATAAAGCCGTATTTAGAAGATTAGCACCCTTTTTATTTCTTTCTGGGGACTTCAGCCTGTCCTACAGTGCTTGCAAATGGCACATGTAAGATCTCCTTTCCCTTTCCTTTTACACAAATCTTCCCATGACAAGTCCCAAAACACATGATACTCTATACTCTGCTGAACCCTTCAGCTGTAAAAGATCACTTCTATTAAATTTCTCCAATGCTCCTCTGGAGTGTCTTTATAGCTTCTTGCTATTTCTCAACAAGCTGCTTTAGCTTTCTTTTAATAATCCTGTCAAATGTTGATGATGACAAACTCTGTTCCTCTCCTGCTGCTCCCAAAAAGCCTTTTGGAGTTCTAGTTTAGACAGCTCACATGTGTGGGCCTTGGAGTGGAAAAGGGTTGGCAACAGGCAACACGCTTTTTCTCTTGACACAGAGAATTACCCTCTGCTGGGGCTGTAATTTATTGAGATGTCTTTCACTACCAGGTTTTATGGCACAGTTACGTCCTGCTCTTCCCACACAGCTATTCCCCCACATTGCACTCGTGAACCAGAAAGCCTTCTAAATGTTACCTAGTAGCAATAATTAATCAGTGGTGTTTTGCAGATCCTATTGCTTAGCTTACTCTTTCATTTCCTCTTACTCAACATTATCACATTACGTTCCCTCTTCTTATGTGCTTTTCCTCTTCACAAAGCTCTTTAAACAGCTGCAAAGGGGGAGGGACCACTATGCTCACGAAAACTCCAGTTTGCAGAATGCTTCTGCCAGGTCCTACTGTCTGTCTCTTTCCAGGCATTTCATACCTCCAAGATTCAGATTTGATTCTGCATCTCTTCCTTTTGCATCCCCGACAACAGAGCTTATTGCCAGCTGAAGAACAGTAATCCACCTCTTCTTGTTACTGCCATGAGGAATACGTACACCCTCTTTCTCTTTGTGGTGGGCTCCTTTTATTTTAAGGGTAAGTGATCTTTTCTTTCGGATACACTTTGCAGAACAGCAATAGCTTGCGGGCTTGGAGGTAGGACTGTGCTATAACCTCTCAGACAATTTGTAACAACCACCTTGGTAGGCTGCAGACTTTCAGAGGATGCATGAAATGAATTATTTTACTGTTGTTTCTGGCTTGCTCGGTAACAGTAAATCCACTGTAAGGGATATGGACAGACAGCAAGTTGGAGATAAAAAGCAGAACAGTAGATGACAATGATAATCACTAAATAATAGCCCTTTAGATGCTCCCAGGATCATCTGTGATGGAAAAAGCAGGTATTGTGCTGAGAGTGAAAAAATACAAAATGAAGCATAACCTGAACCATAAATAAGACAGAACTCATTCCTCTCCACTTACTAGCTCAAGTTCATATATTTTGCAAAGTTTCATACTTCCTAATGGCTTGATTAGTATGTAAATAGTATAAATTAAATATGTAAATAGATGCTAAAAGAAAAGAGCAAACATACATTAAGAACACTTTCTTTAGTCCACCAGGATTTCTTGCATATGTTAAAACATATGCTAAAGCCAACATGAACAGCCCGACAGCAACATGAAATAGTGCATTTACCATGGGAGCTTCTTTCCATGGAGACTCCACCGAAGTGTTCAGAGTGAAACTGGCTGAAACTGAACCAAGACAAAAATGACATCTTTCCCATAATTACCTATTCATCCCACAGTTGTGTTGGTTCTTCAGTCACTGAAAGGCAACTTTAGAAAACACCTGCTTTGTAACAAATGAAGAGTGAGGGCCTACTTCAGATTCTTAGATTACATGCTTTTAAACCCATCAGTATTTCCTTTTTGTTTGCATTATTTGCAGTATAGAAATTAAAACAGTCTTTCAAATACAGTAAATTCACTAGTACTTCCATTGGAACAACTGTGCTCTAAGAGGTTAAATGAATCTTTTTATTTAAGAATGTGCTGAGAAGTAACAGTATCACCAAGTAATTTCAGAGAAGATAATGGGATTGTCTTATCGCTGCTTCTCGCTTACACTATACTAATTACAGATGGGAGTGTGGTATGTCACCACTCTCCACAGAAGTTACTTGGGAGAGAGGGAGGAATAAGAATGACAACATATTCTACAATTTATTATTTCTAAGCAAAAGCTATTTCAACATTTATTAAAATAACTGAAGTCAGGGAAACAGAGGAAACAACTCGTGTGATATGTTGTAATTTAGACATGGTAACAGTGCACTTGCCTGCATTTAGCAACATTGGTCCTTATTCTGTTCTATGGAAATGACTCCAACTTTTGTCTTTGCACTGAAAATAAACCACACAGGATGACTAGTTATTTAATTTTATACATTTAAATTAGACCATGTAAAAGAGAAAGCTTGCAGAGGGGAGTGAATGAAGTCTGTGGTTTTGTTTGTTCTGCTGTGAAATTGTGTGTTTTTAATGGTAATACTCCTGCAGAGAAAACAAACTTACTGCAGAAAGAGTTCTGCAAGTTACATGGCAATCTGCTCTCCTTGTGAAGGAGCAGATGTGTAGTGTGTTCAGTGAAGCTAAAACAATTTCCCTAGCTCAGGATCCATCCCAATGTGTTTTCTCTATTACTGCTTTCAGTACACAAAAAATACTCCACCCCCAAATGAGGACTACTTCATCATTCTTATTAAAATCCTTTGTCTAAAAGCATCCGTCTCCCCTCTGAAACATTTCTCTTTGGGAAAAAAACAGTTTGTGAGGGTAACTGTGCATTTCCATTTCTTCTAACTCAGAGGAAGAAGAGGAATTCCAAACTCATGACTGCTTACATCATGACGTGTGTAAAGATGAACGTGAATGCCTGGCAATTTTGTTCTCATTAGGTGCCATCTGGTACATATGCAGATTGGTAATGGAAAGTAAAAATTACACAAGAATGGCTCATTTTCACATGTTATTTACAGAGAGATTTGCTCTATCAACCTTTAAAGCAGTGCCCTGATGACATCTAGTGGTGTTTGATAAAGGCATGAGTGAGATGAGAGATTAGCCCCTTCCCTCTGTATTTCTGATGACTGTTATTTAAAGGTTGGGATGGAATAGCAATTTTATAAAGAAGTGTTCAGTACAGGGACCCCTTCCCTAGCATCAGATCATGTTTCTTAAAAGGATTCATTAACAAATAATTTGTTATAATTAAGTCGAGGCCTGCATAAAGTTTATTGAGGGAGGCAGTACTCTGAGATCTGAGCTGTTCTTATCAGACATGCAGACCCCACAGTAGGGTCTGATTTGCAGACCAGACAACTGTGATTACTAAAACCAGGTTTTGAATAATAAGATTATTACAAATTCATGATGACTTTGTACAAACATTCTGCAGTCTCTGCTCTTTCCTCCCTGATTAGCAAATCCCTCCATATGCTGGGATAGTTACAGAAAATACAGCATCACAGTGAAAACACATTCAACAATTCAAACAGCGTCCAGTGACCACTATATGCAACAAACCAAATGACAGTGTATTTATATTTGAATGAAAGTCATCTGCTTATGTCACTTCCACATGCAACGGTGGGAAAGTTTGTTAAAAATGAAACCAAAGCAACACAATAAAATAACCTTAACCAAGATTCTCTGTTTACCTGTCACAAGGCTTCTCACCTATCATTTTAAACACAGAACAACTCATTCCTAGAGTGCAGCCTCATTTTCTTCACGATATCAAATGCAGCTCTACCTTGATGGCAAATACACCAAAAAAAAAAACCAATGCGGAGCTTAGCAAGGCTCAGTGCAGTTCTAGCTTCTTGAGCCTTTGATTAGGCAGGCTTACATTTAGATTAAATGTGATACAGAGTATCTCACCGTATTAGGGCTTTACTAATGGCTTTCAGTGAGGTACAAATCAAGCATGGATCAAAAATCAAACCTGACAAACACACAGGACTATTCATCCAAATTTGTTTTCCCAAATGGGTAAATATTTGAGAAGCCCGTTGTGAAGAACAATGTTAGAGTTCAGTATATGGCACCAAAACTGTGCTACCAATGCCATAGCATATGCTAGTCTTAAAAGGATTACAATGAGCCTGGTGTTCACCTCAACCTTTCCCCAAAGCTGTTCTTAGATATTAAAAATCTGTTTGATGTTTCCTTCCTTGGCTCCCCACTTTCTTGCTGGATCAGAAACAAGAAGTTTGAATAGTATTTTTTTAACCTGAGTGGAATTCAGAAGTAACAAGTTGCCCTTTAAGGAATGTACATCCCTGTTCACATGGAAACCAGTCACCTAGAAGTGCACACAAACTTTGTGATCCTGGCCTTTTGTTGTTTGCTTTTCTCTGGCTCTCATGGATATGCTACAGCATAATAAAAACCCAGAGCAAATTAATGTAGCACAAATTTTAAACACTTTCATGGCCAGTGGTTTTTTACTGTGTGAAACTGCTCCAGGGCATCATGGAAAAAAAATGCTGTAGGGACACTACCCTCATTTCTTCAGTGTCTACTTTTGAGTTAGGTGCCCTTTCCTATGGTAGAATCATTTTATCAATGGGATTAGAATCTCTTTTCACTAACACCTACATCCATCACTGTCATCTGAATGACACAACACAAAATTACAT